AAGGAGAAGAGGACGGCAGAGGATGAGATGGTTAGATAGCATCATTGAAGCAATGAGCATGAAACTGAGCCAACTCAGGGAGGCACTGAAGGACAGGAAGGCCTGACGCGATATGGTTCATGGGGTCACAAAGAGTCGGACACGACTTTACGACTGAACAACAATTAATGCATATTACACATTTTGGTATTTCATGAAAAGGATGAATAGAGCTTCACATCTAATAATAGTTTTAAATTGGAGGATTAAATAGTATTATTGTATCATATGTAATTTAAATTATGTAAATTAAGATACTAAAATTCTTCGCCTGGGGTTCCATTGTAATATAAAACATGTTTGAAAAAAGTACAGATTCATGTTAACCTAGAACCTGATTAATTTACATCTCTTGCATGTGCACTTTTGTTTTCACAAGTAAAGTTGGAGGAAAGAGAAAACAGTTTTAGTAGATCCTAGTTTTTCTCATGTCTTCTGCAAACATGTAAACATCTGGATGGCACAGAATGGAAATTGAACAGTGACATTGGAGATGAACGTGCTATATGTATATGTATCTTTGCTCTTATGTTGGGTGGATTGGGTTGATCAGGAAACATGCATTTATGAGTTCTCCCGGATTATGGTTATGGTACCTATATTGATCTCAGGTATAAATACTTACTTGCCTTCAACAGAGGATGGCTGTCAAAATACATGGGAACGGTTTGCAGATTCTGGAAACTGTTACCAGTTAAACACAGAGGCTGCCCTTTCTTGGAAAGCAGCATACCTCTCCTGTAAGAAGCAAGGGAGTGATTTGGTCAGCATCACGAGTGCATCTGAATTAAGTTATATCCAAGGTAAGTACAACTTTATAATGAGTTCTGAAGGAAAGCTGTTAGTGGCAAATGAAGAAATAAGTAGTTTGATTTCAAGATGGAAATCAGACCAGCAGATTTCATGGCCTGCAGAAGAGAATATTTTTCCCAATCTCTAAATTTGACTTTCCTAAACTTCTAGTAATATATTTTGTGCCATCAAAAACAAGGGTATCTTCTCAGTCTTACAACCAAGCTGTATTTTAAGTTTTACCTGTTATGTTTGCTTTTCTTCATCTTAACGCTATAACAATTCCGCATGAAAGTCATGTACTTGTCATGATTTTAAATTGTACTGAAATTCAGATCACAAAAAAAGCAACCATTTTCTCTTCAGAATATTTGCAGAATTCCACAATGAGCTCTTTGCACCAAACTAGATCGAATGTAGGACAGTGGCATCTGCATGGGTGTGGACAAATAATGTCATGACTCCATCATGTAAATTATGCAACTTAAGTACTTGTATCAGATATCATGGTATCATTCCATTATTGGGGCCCTTTGAGTAGCAGTGTTGTAACTCAAATATCATTTTGCCATGATTGGGGCTTGTTATGGATGCCATTGATGTGGGATATTTGTAAACAGGATTTCCCAAGAAGTACTTTCTAAATAAAAAGAGATAAAAGCATATTTTGGGGGAAATGAAAAACTGAGCTGGGCTGGAAAGTGGTTTGGAGAAGGGACTGTTTTCCACCTCTTATTTTCATAATTGAAACTCACTCTACAGCACCTTTTGTCTCACAGGAGAAAAAAATGTAGAGATGTCATTTAGATGGGAAACATGATATAAAAGAAAATAGGTATCCCCATCTAACATCTTTCAATGATCCAATTCTTTTCCTCTTCTCAAAAAGCTGCATTCAGATAGAATGCTGATCAGTTAGTAGGATGCATTGTTGTATAGCCTTACAGAATGCCTTGAAGAAACCTTGGTCTTGCATACTCCCCCTTCCTTTCTTCTTGTTCCACTTTAGACTAACCTGTGTCATCTTAACCCTAACATATTAATTATGGCCTGCTGTTACGTGATGAAATTGGTTTATTCCAACAAAGTATGGTTAATACACCCACTTCTGTTAGTGACTACCTCAGTTAGCAACCATTCGCAAATACGACGATAATAAAAAAATCATTTTCTGACCAATGCACACATTTACAACCAAATTTCATGCACCTGTCAACAGTGCATGCTGGAGTGAGAGTAACACTGGTGTAGCTGTACAAGAGAACTTTATCTGAATGAGATGGCAGCAACCAGTGATCTTTACAGTCTCTCTTTCAGTCACATGTTCACTTAGCAACCATTTTGCTTAACAACCTGGTCATTGGAACGGAATGTGGTCGCTAAACGAGGAGTGAGTGTATTATTCACAATCTGTGTCAGGATTTGGTAATTAAAAGGAAGCCAGAGCTTCCAAAGTCACAATGAAGGAGGAATATGGTTGAGCCCAAATCATCTTCTGTTTCATTCCCATAATACTAACCCATGGATTCCTGCACTGGGCAGGATATTGGACTCTTGGTCAAAATTGCCTCCTCCAGTTATATTTATGTTATTACATGTGAATGAGACCAGTAGCTGCTTTGATACTGAAAAAATATTTTAGTACATTTATGGGTCCTTTTCTGTTGTGCAAAAATCATGCATGTGAGGTTTCTGCACAGACTGGATCTATATGGAGATTTTTCTGCAGAACTGCTTAAGCTAGATGATTTTGGGATTCAGTATTGTTTGTTAAGTGTGGTACTTGGTACTAACTTAGTAAACTTAGAGTTATTGGGAGCCAGGCAGTATACAACAACAAACAATAATATAAATACAGGTAGACCTTGCTTACTGACTGCCTCATTCAGCAACTGTTCAAAGTTACAATAGTGCTGAAAAAATAACTTTATAACCAATGCCCACATTTACGACCTTCGCAGTGTCCCTCAGTCACATGATCACCATTACAGTCATTATGTGTTGTCTTGTACCTGACTTTTTGTTTATTGTTTTCCTCCTCTTGCAGAGCAGAGAGATTGGAGAGGAAGGGATTACAAAAGAGTAAGCAGACACACAATGGGGAATACACTAGGCTGTTTGCATAGCATTATTGCAGCTGCTAGCACCAGCACATTGCTTTCAGTGTATATTCCCCATGGTGTGCTTGCTTACTCCCTTGTAATCCCTTCCTCTCCAATCTCTCTGCTCTGTGAAAGGGAGAGGGGAAGGAAAAAAACAAGTGGTTTCTGTAGGCGATCTCTCCTGTGCCTGACCCGCTTCCCCACTCCCACCCCCACCCCAGATATTTCATTATCTGGAAAGGTTATTTAGGCAAACTCTGATTTGTGAAGAATAACAATGCGAATGTTGAGTAAATATTAAATCAGAATGATAGGTACAAATTATAGAGTTGGAAGAGGCCATTTAAGGTTTGAGTCCAACTCTGGTCAGCCCATGAATCCTAATTAAAGTATCCCAGACAAATGGCTGTCCAGCCCTGCTTGAACCTATCTGCTGAAGTGAAGCTCATCGCATCTCTGTCAAACTGCTCACATGGCTAAGAAGATTTTTTTTGTTTTAGATTTTTTATCCCACCTTTATTATTTTTATATAACGTAAGGCGGTGAACATGCCTAATACTCTTTCCTCCATAACCTTGTATTGTGTGATACCCTTTGAGATATTTGAAGAGTGCTATCATATCTCCCCCCAGTCTTCTCAAGATTAAACATTCCCAGTTCCTCTTCATGAAGTATAGCTTCTAGTTCCTTGATTGTTCCTGTTTCCTTCTCTGAAAAAACAAATTATTATATAAAATAATAATTACAAAATAATAATCCTGTTTTAAGAAAGTGTCATTAAAAATAAGCTCCCAAAATGTAGTATCTGGACCTTTACCGTATTGTAATTTGCACTGGATGTTAATCCTCACTCAGAGCTCACTACCACACTGGAGAGTACATGGTACTGGTTATATTTAAATAAGATTAAAGTTAACATTGGTTGCACTTCATATAACATTAAAACAGGATTATTTTAGCACTAGTTTGTTAAGCAAGCCATTTGCACATAATGTCAATCTGTGAGCATATCCATTCTAAGCCAAAAATAAATGAGCTGCATTTTACCTTAGCATTATATTCAGGCAGTTCAGAGATGTCCAAAAAAAAAAAAAAGGAGTGGCATTTTCTATCACTTGTTATTTCACAGAAACTAATAAATTCACACATCTGTGCAAATACATTCCACACACCACACATAAGACAATGAAAATGCAGGCTGTTATCTTGCAACATAATATTGCAGATGAGCGCAAAAATATTGCAGATGAGTTCAGACAAAGGATAATGATTTTTTTTTTTTTTGCTTTTGTTTTCTTTCAGTGTAGTAGGTAAATTCCAACTATGACTTGATTGGCTTGAAAACATTCCGTTCTCTTATCTACTTTTTTTAAAATTCTCTAGCTAAAGATGGTATCGCAGAAATATTTTGGATTGGATTAAACCAGTTGGATGTTTCTGGAGGCTGGCAGTGGTCAGATCATTCACCATTGAACTTTATGAACTGGAATCCAGGTAACTGCATTTTTCCTCATGTGCTGCTCTAAAATTCATATTGATGAGCTCCCAAGCAGGGAAGGGAATTGTAGCAAGAATTGAGTGAAGAAGATGAAGCAGATGCAGAAGAAGAAATAAATGATGGGGGAAAAAACCTTACCCAGATCTTTAAAACAGCCCCCAGCCTGAGCAAAAGAACTTCTCCATAGACTGAGGATATTAAAAAGAGCATTGATAACAGCAACAGAATTGCTTAAAACATACTGGTAACGTATGAAAATGAAATAGATCCAATAACCAGTGACTGAATATGAGGATAGATCAAGGTCTCCACTTAATTTAAAAGAGAAGGAGATATAATAGTTCAACACAATTTAATGAGGCATTTTGTTAAGCTCAGGAGTTACCAATGTCCAGACTGACCCAGATAATCTCACAAAAAAAGAGTCTGTTAGGCTTCCAGAAAATCTATTTATTATGTAATTATTGTTTACTGGAATGGATGGGCCAGTGAGCCAGACTAAGTTCCCTGAAAATTCCACAAACCTAGTTGGTCAGGCCAACATAAACATCTTGGGTCAAATGTTAATCTATTCCAAAGTTTTCAAGTTTCCTGAACGTGATCCAATGTTTGCATTCAGCCCAGCTTATAATCACACACAAGGTGCTGGTCCTCCCTCCTGAGTTACTCGGACATCACTAGACACTTCTCTGGTTTCAAACCATTGCAAAATGTTACTAGGGCAATAACCAGGAAGTCTGATCAGTTTTCAAGCACTTTCTTTCACTTCTCACACAAACCCACACTTAGACATGGGATTTCCTGCTAAGTTTCCTTGTTCCGGTGATAATGATTAATAGCAGAACAAATCAGAAGGAAACAAAATGCGGTTCAAACTTTTATTTGATAAGAATGTTAAATACAGTTTCACTCAGCAATAAATAGAGGTAATTGAAGAGAACAGTCGCAAGTTCTTACATTTGTTCTATATTTAAGCAGTGGAGTCCCAGTTAACATTACTAGGATGCAAATCACATCTTGAGTGGCCAGCTCAGCAAATAACCTGACAAATATTGGAGTTCAAGAATCTATTGTTCACTCATTCTGGCCCCTGGCTGATATATAAGCTCCAATTTTGATCACAATTTCTTCACATGTAATTTCTGCTTTAGCTGAGATACACATTATTTAATAGGAAAACAAAATAACTCAAATGGATTGCCACAGCCATTACATTTTGCTTAAATGAAGGCAGTCTTACTATTTTCACTCTACCAACACAGACCAGAATTTGAGATGCAGCAAAATATCTGAAAGACAGCCCTTTTAGTGATCCTTAACACATCATGTTTGTCTTTCTGAAATAGGTTTGCTAATTCTTCCTGTGTATTTCTTATACTCCATGTTTTGATGTAGAAACATCTGAGGTTTTGAGTGGGACTACATACTGGCCTCACTGTTGTAGTTTCCTGTGAAATTCTAAATCCCCATCCTGGTCTCTGGCTTCTCCCATTGTGTTCTGCTTTCTCAGCTTCTGTCCTTGGCGGCATATTCAGGTCTTTTGCTTTCTCTCAGCCCCACTAGGTAGACCAGATCAGGAAATCAACTCCCCAGGAAGGCTGAAAAGACCTTTAATGAAATTGGCTATAATGACAGAACCTTGCAGGTCTGATTGTGCTATACTTCCTCCTCGTCCTTGTACTTCAGTCAATTAGGGAGGCGTCTGTCTGAGCCACTTCCAAATACTATCTTGTAGCCCTGGACTTAAAAAATGCTTCAACCCTTTTGCCTAAGTAACAGCATATCTCCATCAAGGTCATCTTGCTTAATCTCTACACCTCTTCCCCTTTTGTTCTAGTTTGATGCTTTTTTGATGAGTTTGGTAAGGTTCCTGTCTATTGCTTCTTTTTCAGTCTTTATAGCCTATCTCCTCCCATTTTTTTTTATGACAATAGCATAAGCCACTGTTGTAGAGACCGTACTCTTTAGTGACACCATCTGCAACATCACTTGCTGACTTCTAAGCTCAATTCTTGTCTCTTTCTCCCCAAGCCCTTTCCTTTTTTAATCTTTCTTTATAATGCACACTCTAGAATGCAGTGTAAAATCAACAATGGAACTGACTGTGTTGAAGTTCTTTTATAAAGAGAAGAAATGGCAATTCTGTGATTTTAATCTCATCCTTTACATTCCAGTACCTATTACAATCCATGATATGATGCAGCATTAGCCTAATAACTAATCATTACTCTTCTGCAGAGATGCAGTATTTATCTCCAATAGAAGGAAATGACTGTGTAGCTATGAATGCTGACACAGGTGACTGGAAGAGTTATACTTGTAACACTCTACTTCCTTATGTCTGCAAGAAACAAGTCAATGACAGTCAACTAGATTTTCCAGGTAAATCAGAAATGCATTGTGAATTTTATTTCACTCTATTTTTTTGTGGCTAAAAAGCCTAATCTTTACAGAATTATACTTTTTTTTTAATTCAAGCAGTTTTTGCTAGAAATAGAGCACCTTCAGAACAATTCCCAGACTTTCCAAATGCTTAAAGCTGTGTTCACAGAGCACACTTAAAGTCATTAATAAATGAAACCTTTATCAGGATTCACACAAAGCTCTGAAGCTTAATAAGCTAGTCAGAAGGCCTAGTTTAGTATGTTTGCAAACTTTGTATAACCTTTTCCCCAGGCTGAAACTACAAGTTCAGCTTGGGTTCAACCACTAGGTTTTTAGTTAAATATGTTATATGAACACAACCATATATGATTGTAGAGAATAATGGGTAGTAAAATTTGGACTAAATTATTGTTTGGGTAGGAAAAAAATAGTTTTGCAAAAAATAATAATTTTCTTCAGTTACAGACAGAAGGTTTCAGGGGATTTTTATGATTTCTGTTCAAAAAGATCTCAGAAATATTTATTTGAAATGTTCAATAAAGCTCGATCCCTGTGTAAATGTGGTGCTGCATCTTTTATCTAACTTGACTGTGAATAGGAACAGTTGCAGAAGTAGCCAGGAATATAAAATCCCTGCTCTGGCATTAATACAATTTATCCTGCATCATTTTTTTAAAAATGTGTTGGGGGCAAATGCTGTAGGTGGGACAATTCATGCAGGTTAATTTTTACTTCTACCAGATGAGCCTTTTTGTCCATCTGACTCAGTATTGTCTACTATGACAACAACTCAGATTACTATTTAGCTTTTTAACTGGAGATGCCAAGCTTTGAATTTTGAGTCTATTGCATCCAAAGTTTGTTCCTTCTGAGCTATGACCCTTTCCCTATGGTGTCAGTTCTATATCACTGCTTTTAGAAGTTATCATGTTATCTAGCAAATCCTTTTCAAGTTCTTTTTCTCAGATGTTCAGAACTATGCTGAGACTCAGTGTGAATCTGACTGGTACCCGCACAATGGATTTTGCTATATGCTGATGAACAGCACTGCTTCATGGAAAGATGCATATCAGTTATGCAATGAAAGCAATAGTAGCCTGATCAGTATACATTCCTTAGCAGATGTTGAATTAGTTGTTACAAAGCTTCATAATGGTAAGTTGGAATAAGCATGGGCATGAATTGCTCCTATGTTTTTCTGTTTAAGCATTACTCTTAATTTAAGGTTGGGCTGCATAGTAAAAATTACTTTACATGAAGGACTGGTATTAATTTATCTGTGACCAGATTTTAATTAACTTACAGCTAGTCCTTGCTTAATGACCACAATTGAGACCAGCAACTCCATCACTAAGTGATATGGTTGTTAAGAGAGACATCATAGGACCACACTTCCGCCATGATCATTAAGTGAATCACCCGCGATCGTTAAGTGAGACATCACTGATCACAACTTGCGATTTTACTGCCGGCTTTTCCATTGACTCAGCTTGTCGGAAGCCAGTTGTGAAGTGCGCAAATGGTGATCATGTGATCACAAGGATGCTGCAACAGTCGTAAGTGCAAGGACAAGTTGCAAACTTATCTTTTCATCACTGTCATAACTTTGAACAGTTGCTAAACAGGGCAGTCGTTAAGCAAGGACTGTATTTATTTGCCGTATCAGCGTAACAAATGCAGCAACAAAAAACAGTATGTGCTATTAGTCTGGATAAAATTATGTCTGCTGGCCAAACCCCTTTAATTACATAATTATGACACAACTGAGAAGTGGCTATAGAAAAAGTTCTATTTTTTTATTGTATGACTAAAGTTTCTGTTTTGCCTGGTGATTTTTGAACTGCTTGAATTTCTGTTTTGATTGTAGATACAAAAGACAAAGTGTGGATAGGGTTAATAAATAAAGATATTCCAGCCTTGTTTAAGTGGTCAGATGATTCCAAAGTGGTGTTTACTTACTGGGATCAGAATGAACCAAAAGTTTCCTTCAAAAACATTCCAAATTGTGTCTCCTATTCTGGAAAGGTAAGGATCTTTTGGGATGTTTTGTAATTAGTTTCCTAAAGCTTTCTGTAAACTTCATAAAAGGAAATGAAATGTATGACTTGCTTCATCAGAGAGAGTTAGTGTAGTATAGAAGTCAGAATGTTGCTCTGGGTCTATGGAGACCCAAGCCCCAACTCAACCATGTTAATAAATAGATAAGAGATGATCCCACATATGTGATTTAAGTGTTTAAGAGATTAAAAAAGTAAATAAAATGCTTTGTTTTATTATGTGATAAGGGTTAGACCTATGCAAGGCGACTTCCATTTGTGTTGACAAAGAACTTTGTATAATAAGATTCCTTTGTTGAAGCAAAGAAGCAACCCAACTGCCTTGATGAGGCATTTTGCAATGCCTCAAAATTTTTTGACTTTGTGCAGTAGGAGAAATTGTGAAAAGCCTTCTTTAGCAACAACCATTTCTGGCCTTAGGAAGCATTGCTAACAACAAAGCTAGTGGAGATGACAGTATTCCAGCTGAGTTATTTAAAATACTAAAAGATGATGCTGTTAAAGTGCCCTCAATATGCCAGCAAGTTTGGAAAACGCAACAGTGGCCATGGGATTG